GACTCACAAAGGGATGGCATCAGTCTGTGAAGAGCTCCCAAGGCCACTGGTTCCTTCAGGACCACCACTCCTGACCTGGAGTTCTCGGCCTTTATCACACCACACTGGTCTAAGGCTCCATGCTAGCCAGTATGCCCAGTGAAGAAATGACAGTCTCTGCCAAATAGTGCAAAGAACATAGACAGTTAAATGTTTTCAAATGTAACTGTGGCCAAGGTTTCTCCATGGGGAAGGCCCCTAGAGCCCCAAGCTTATCTTGCCTGTAGGCCTCATTGATATCTCCCTATGTGAGTGAGCTGGGCTGGGCTGCTGTCTAGGGACTGGAAACAAGAGTTCTCTGGCCTGCTGGGCCCAGGGAGACCATTGCCCCATCTCTAGGTCAAAGGCCCAGACACCATCTGTACACCCAGACAGACTGATGCTGAACTGGGTCTCAAGGAGTCTCCCATTTCTCTGGTCCAGGGCTGCTCTCAGCCCTGTCCTCAGGCTCTGGGATTAGCCTGTCTATGGGCAACATCCTCACCCCTTTTGATCTGCCCTGTTTCAACCTCTGTTCCAGACAGCTTCTATTTCTGGAATCGTCAGAAATGCCTCGGGCTCCTTGTCTGTATCAAGCTCTTCCCGCCTCTCCCCAAGCTGCATCACTTGCGGCCCACCCACCTCGGGGCCTTCAAAGCACACAGCAACTTGTTTATAAGCCTGACACCCACCTCAGATGCATCTGCCCTGTGCAGTCCTGAGAGTCACAACTAGGTTTCGGAAAGCAGAGTGTGCTCTTACACACTAGGGGCTGAGTGAAATGATGCAGGCAGTCCTGAGGCCTCCATCAATAAGGAGGTCCCCGTTGGCCAGTGTCACAGGAAGAGGTGGCCCTGCACCCGGAGCCTTGGGCCTATCTCTGACTCGTAGGTAACAGTGACTTGCAACATTGGCTTGCTCTAGCACCTCCTGTCTCTTGGGCACAGGGTCAAGCCTATTCTTTCGGGTTTTCATTATTCATCAAATTGTACAATTTATACATGGCTGGTCTCTGGAAGCAGTGGCTTAAGGTGAACTCAGGAGTAAGGAAGAGATAATCTGCACCTCCAATGGAAATATGTGGGCAGCTGAGGTCAGGGGTCAAAAGAAAACCCCTATCCCAGCATGAACATATGAACAGTCCCCAACAGTGACACCTGGTGGGGATGGTGAGAAATGCAGCAGATGGAAAGTAAATCCAAGGCCCTTCCCTGTTGGACTGGATTGGATGAGAAACAGCTCTTGGACTGCTGGGTATGGAGCTCTTAAACTTCTGGGTATGGTCTCAAGGAGAAGTACTGGCCTTGACAATAGGGTGTGTATAGCTCCAATCATTAAAATGACAGATAAAGGATATTCTCCAAACTGACTATGGGTTCTATAGGGGAAAACCCTGAGAGACTCTGAAACAGGCGAAGTTATTTCCTGACTGTCCTTTCATTAGAATGCCAGGGCCTCTAGGGACTGCGTAGTACTATAGAGAGGTGCACCATGTGTATCTTCCACTTGGATACAACATGGCTCTATGGAGAGAATGATAATCATGGCACACTCTGGCATTTCCTGTGTATGATACACATCTGAGAACCATCTCTTGGTTGTATAGGATCTTGTTTTTATTCAGTTTAGTATGTTCTGGCGATAAAACCAAACCCCACCACTGAGCTACATCTTCCCTTTTTTGTGTATATGTTAAGATATATTGTATACAAAGTCACTTCCCCTACACTTAGAGGTTTAATTCTTCCTTTCTTCCTGATGCCTTTAGTTTTTCTTTCTCCAGCTAAAGTGACTGGAGTTCTTTGGAAAGAAAAAAGAAGAAAATACTTTACCCACATATGTAATTTTTTGAAGGTTCACTTTAGAGTCCCTGGTATCAGACACATTACATGCATGCACTCGAGTGCAGACACACACACACACACACACACACACACACACACACACACACACACACGCGCGCGCACATGCATGTGTGCCATGTGTTTCCCCATCTGGGATGTAAAGGAGAATTGCTCAACAGGAAAGACGGGAGGGGAAAGGGGCTCTGCAGTGGCACAGACAGTGAATGAGCTAAATCTGCAAAGTAGAACGCTCTCAGGGAAGTAAGAGCTGCTGTTACATTGGTGACTGGGGCAGAGAGAGCTGAAGGGTTTACTTCTGAGGGCAAGTATCTTTGACACTTAGAGTGACTGAAACAAACAGAGAAGTTGAGGATGTTTCCTAGAAAATAGAACAGAAAGCCAAGACTGGGAGAAACATAATAAATTCAGTGTGAACTCAAAGGCCCAACTTCTGATGAGCAGATATGTGAGGGAGGATGAGAGGCAAGAAGGTGATTTAGACACTGATGGTAGGTTTTCCCCAGATGAAGGACAGTTAGAGAGCGCCTGCCTGGTGTAGATGAGAAAGTGCCTGTGTTACCCACTAGCACAGTGAATTTCAAAGGTGTCCTCAGCAGGTAGGTCTGGTGGGGAACAGGGCAGGAAAGAGCAGCACATCTGAGCAATGAAGAAAGGTCTGGAGTTGTCGGTCTGAGTAAAGAGACAGAGGGAGATGCAGCACTTTAAGGCAAATGGTTGAAATCCTGCTTTGACAGCATTGAGAGGTTCACTCTTCTACTGGAAATGTGGCATGTATTAGTGACACAAACACTTAGGAAACTGAGCAATCAAAACAAAAAACTCAGAGGAATACATACAGATGTGTGATCTACATGGGATGGACCCTGGGGCACTATGTGGGCCACAGGTGTGTAAGTAACCCTGAGCAGCAGCAATATCCTTCCCTCGTCCAATGTAGAGCTGCATCCTGGATGCTCTCTCTGCCCCCTGGATCTTCTCTCTACCTTCCTTTCAGGTTATGAAACACAAATGATGGAGGGCTGGGGATATGGCTCAGTAATAGTGTTTGCCTAGTATGTGTGAGGCCTTAGACTCATTCCCACCCTGCATCAGGCAGCTGGCCCCTGCAGTGGTCCCGCCTGTCTATGGGTCAGTGGGAGGTGAGGGGTCTGGACAGGTGCCCCCTGCTCCATGTTGGGTTGGGAGTTGACAGTAGCTGACAGGGGCTTGACCCTGACATTCTCCTGTGCTGAGCACTGCCCTTCCCTGTGGATCTGGAGCCCCAGTGGCCAGACCCAGTGATTACTCCTCATGCCCAGGACTCTTCTCATCACCCTCCTCCAGCTTTCTTCAGGGGCTGCTCAGAGGATGCACCGTCTGTTTCCTGTACCCAGGACACTATGGTGGAGCCAGACTAGGAGCAATGAGCGTACAGCACTTTGGGAGGGAGGCATTGTGTGCAGGAGACAGAAGGCATCATAGATTAAAGTGAAGAAACAGTTCACACAAACTGTGGCAGTCTGGGATAAAGTCTAAGGCCACCAGCTGGAGAAGTCCCAGGTATTTGCCTCTAGGGACTCAAACCAGAGTGGGAAGGAACCATGGAGCACAGTTACTTTCTTACAAGCTTTGTGGAGAAGTAAGGTTGCCTCTCTCTGCTGTGAACACTAGGACACCATCTCCACGCAGGACAAAGGAAGGGCAGATGGAGCAGGCAGAGTGCATTTTCCCAGAAGCCCTAGACAGGCTGGGGCAGAGCCACACCAGGCTATGTGGGATCTCAGGCTACATCCTGGAGTCACTAAAGGCAATGACGGTATATGGCCCTGGACAGAGAGAGAGAGGGCTGAGGGTTTTGGAGCAGGGAAAATTCTGGAAAGGAGTGGGGCTTCCAAGTTAAGAATAGGGCAGACACTCTGTGTTCATCATGGTAAAGTCATATTTCCTTCATAATGCCCAAATTCTTCCTTCTGGCAATGTCCAGAAAATCGCTGCCATCTCCTGAAATTCCATGAAGTGGTATGGCCTGTAACATGTCTCTGGACACCAGAAAGCCAGGGAAGTGAGGGAGGATGACTCCCTGGATACCCTAACTAGAAGGATGGCTACATCCTAAGGAATGCCTCAATACCTAGGATACCTGGATCCTTATGGTGATTTGAATGGGATGTCCCTCATAAGTCTCTGGCATTTGAATAGTTGATCCCCAGTTGGTGGCTGTTTGGAAGGACTAGGACTAGTGGCCTTGTTGGAGGAGATGTGTCACTGGGGTCAGGCTTGAGATGTCAAAAGCCTTCCACCATCTCCAGTGCTCTCTGTCTGTTCCCTGCTTGTGGTCTGAAATGTGAGCTCCTGGCTGCTGCCGCAACACCTGCCACCTCCACTCTGCCACCATGGACTAGTATTCCCCCGGGGCTGAAAGCTTAAATAAACCCTTTCTTTTTAGAAGTTCCCTTGGTCATGGTGTCTTATCACAGCAATAGAAAAGTAACCAATACTGTCCTGATGAAGTGCAAGGCGAGGCAAAGGGCAGGTGCCTCTAAGGTAGAACTCCATTTCCCCCAAATTCCTGAGAAATAACTTTCCAAGAGGGGAGTCACACTCAACCCGTTCCCCACAACTCCTGAATGGCCTCTTCTCTTTAACACTGGTCCTGAGAAGGTTAGCTTGCCACAGGATGCCTGGGCTGTGGGCTTCCTAGGATACACAGATGCTTTCAGCCATTGAGTACAACTGGCCATCTCATAGGGTGGGGCCTAGGAAACTGTCTTCCTAGATGTACACGTGGTGTAGGAATCTCCAAGATGTTCTAGGCACCTCACCAACACCTAGACCTCTCAGACTCTCCTCTCTGATCCAGAGTCCACCAACTCAGAATCCTCCTGGGGACTCCTCCACAGCCCCCTTCGGGGAGGACAGGAATTCTGACTTGAACATTTCCTATTCTAAGTGGAGATCAGGGAGCACTGTCACCTACAACAGAGGGACCTATGGAAACCTGGCTCTGCACTTCTGCACCTCTGGAGTCCTCAGAACTTCTAGGGAAGTTGTAAGGAAGGTGGGTGGAGAAAACGGGCTGGTGAGGGACCAGAGCTGTGCCCTGCTGCCCACCTTCCCATGTGCCCGCCAATCACGTACCAGCCTACGGATCTCGCGCTCACACTCCTTCTTGATGCGGACAATTTCTTCTTGGTGCAGGTGGTAGACGCTCCTGATCTCTGCCGCCTTGATCTTATCCGCCTGGATGACCATCGTCAGTGCCTCCTCCACCTGCTTTTTGGCCCCCTTGAGCTCTGAGATCTCTTGCTGCATCTTGACCTTCTCCACCTCAAAGCCCTTCTTGGCCTCCTCCTTAGCCTCACACAGGAGCACGGTCTTCACCTTGTCGGGCGCGCCATCCCGCAGGGTGTTGAGCAGGGCTTGCAGCCGCTGGTTCTCATTGTCCTTGATCTTGATGACTCTCAGCAGCTCGGCCTCGTGCTGCCGCAGCAGTGCCTCCCGCACCGACTGCAGCTCCTTCATCTTCTCCTCGTGCAGCTTGGTCTTGAGCTCGGTGACCAGGACGGCGTGCTTGCGCTGCTCGTGTTCACGCACCTGCTTCAGCTCCTGGCTCTTCTCCCGCTCCACTTTGCTGACCTGAAAGACAGGTGAGACTGAGGTTGTTGGAGCCCAGAACGCCTGCAGGGGCTGAAACACGCCCACACATTTAAAAAAGGATTGCTGCCCTGCAAACTTAGGAGCTATCTGACTTCCAAATGTGCTTTTAACTGTCAAAGCAAACCACCCTGCTTGGCGGAGGGCATGGATGTGCATGGTGGTTCTGCAGCATGCAAGGCCCTGCACTGTAGCAGGAGAGGTGGCCATGGGCACTCTCTGCACATGGGAATCTGCTCCAAGTCCTTCTAATAGGAAACTGAGCAGGAGAAGGGGAGCCCCACAGGAGCGCAGGAGGAGCAACCGGCAGGTCTGCACCTGTGTAGAGCCCTCAAGCCAGTTTCTACTCACTCACTCCAGATCCTATTTCTTCACACAATGTACCTGCTGTACTTACTTACCTTCCATGTCTAAGGGGGAAGCCTCTTAGCAGCCAGCTTGTCTTTCTAGATGGCATCTCGTGTCTAGATTTTGGAAGTAATGTGACCATGTGCTTCATGTTCATTTAAATGTTTTGAGGCTCTGGCTGAGTGGTCACCCCACTATAGCAAGTACTATATAATAGATCTATAATGGATAATAGCTAAAATTCCCATGTGCCCTGTCTGCCCTGTGGCTGGAGAACGCAAGGGCTCCCCTGTGGTTCATGGAGCTCACCTCCCACCTCCACCCTGGTTCTCCCTGATGAGCAGACAAGCTCATCCACAGTGTGGAGTCCACGGTGGTCTGCTCTGCTGGCAGCATCTGACTGTGCATCCCTCCTGAGACCCACAGGCCCCTCTTGGCTGCTCCCACATCAGGAACTGCCCCAGCTCTGTAGCCTATGCCTCTCTGACCACAGCCCAACCAACCCCTTTCCTTTCCTGATGCTTCCCAAGGCTCCAGGCACCCACAAACACTGGTCCCCAAACACTTTTTTTTCTCGCTGGTCCTTATTCTCAAATTTCCAAGGGCCAGTTACTTGGTGATACCGAGAGCTACACCCATCCCATCACCTGCACCCTGGGAGACCTGCAGCCTGCTTTGTGCCTGAAGGCTGTTCTGGCTTTCTAAGACCCTCTAGGGGATCAGTCAATAGTGACCCAGCAGGATTCAGGTATGGTGTCACAGCTCCCTGCATCCCTCTGCCTGGGGAGGAGCAGCCTGCTTCTGTTGGAAAAACATCCCTCTCTTAGGCTACTATTGTTCTGATCAACTTCCTGCTCACAGTAGGTGTGTATATTCCCCATACCTGCTTCTGGAAGACTCTATGAATCTCAGAGATGCTTCTGGCTAGAACCCTAAAACAGTCACTCTATACTGAACTTGTTCAAACAGGCCTCGATTGCCTTCAAGTCTCTCATTCCCATAGTGGATGCCATCAGTTCTGAAATGACTGGTATTTCCCACTTACCACTTTTCCATAGCAGCCAGCCATGAGTCCATAGTAAGTCCTTCCTGTACCGGTGTCTATTTAATTTTGCATGCTCCCCCATCTCCTATTTCTTCTTATATTCTTCAGGGAGAATCTTGCTGGAGTCATCTTCTAGGCTCCCACTTTTCTTACCCACCACCACCAAAGAGCAGCAAAGCTGCTCACTCCTAAGGTCCTCATGCTTGCACAGTGAACATTTCCCTACTGAGCTGTCTCCCCAGCCCAAGCCTACTTAAAAGACTCCTCTAGCTTACATCATTGCCTTTAACAAAACCTTTAACACAGGGGTCTTTGGGGACGTTTAAGGTCCAAACTATTCCTGATTTATTTGCCTTTATGGCTGGCCTATCTCCCTCCCCGGCAAGAGGCAACTTTCAGGGGTCATTTGCTGCTGCTTCCTCATAGGACAGGCATGTGACTCTGACTCACACAGCTGGCACCAGGGCTGGCAGCTCTATTGTTCTCTTACAGCCCAGCAGGCCCCTGACTGACCCTCCTGCACACTGGACAGTAGGCAGCCATCTAGCAGTGTGGGCTTCTGCTTTGCTGAACAGACCATTCATTACTGGAAACCAGAGCAAGCAGGCACCTGCCCCTCCCCCACCCCCATTTAACTTGCATCCCCTCCTTTTCCAGTTTTAACTGGATCCCAGGTAAGAGAAAAACAAAAACAAAACAGCTGGGGTTTGTTTGCTTTCAGTTTTTTGAGACAGGGTCTCCCTCACATTGTAGTAGAAGTTGCCATAGAGCTAATACTACGCTGTCCAACCTAGGCTTGGACTCACAGGAATCTTCCTGCTTCAGCCTCCCAAAGGTGAGAGTACAGGTGTGAGCCACCACATGGTGCTTCTGAATTATTTGAAGAAAGCCCTTCTCTTCCTCTATGGATCCTTTGGATGATTCCAGAACATTCTATGTGTTTAAAGGAAGGAAGAATGAATGGCTTGGTGGGGCAGGAATAGCTAGTTTCTCCTGAGGGTTAGACCCTGAGGATGCATCAAATTCTGAGTGAGATGTGGTGCCAGAACCTACACCAACCAGTGTCTATGGACCCAGAGCCTGCCTGTCCTCCCAGCAGACACATATTCTGACCTTGTGAGAACATCCCAAATGGGATGGGCAAAGAGAAAATGAGTGCATCCTGTGTCACAGCGGAGATTATGGAGAGTGTTAAACAGTGTGAACCGAACAGCCAAATGTGGAGTGAAGCTCTGTCCCACCGTTAAGCTGCTGGAGACAAAAGCTTACTTCTGTCCAGGGCCTAAGACTCTGCCTTGGAGAAAAGAATCTACCTGTGCCCCATGTGTGGAAGGCTTGTCTAAAATCCAGCCATGAGAAGCCCTCTCCTCTCCTGCCCTTCCCAAAGCACTCACAGTGCCCATGCTGGGCCACTAACTTCCAACAAAGCATGTGGCAGAGTGGGAGACACATCCCAAGACAGCCATGGAACCTGGGCAGAAGTTAGGCCCTGGAGAATCCTGGGAGTTTCCTCTGTGCCCCAGAGAAATAACACTAGGCAACTTCAAGGCTCAACATGAAAGGTAGCTAGGTCTGGAATTCTGGGAAGCTGGCTAAAGACAGGCATGCTGGGGGAGAACAGATCATCTTGGCTCACAGTTTCAGGGGTTTCAGTCCATGGTCACTTGGCTCCACTGCTTCTAGGCCTGTGTGGGTAGAGGAAGAGCATAGCAGATGGGGAGAGATAGATGAGAAAGCAGAGTGAATGACCTCATGGTGAACAGGAGCCAATGGTGGGCAGAAGCCAAATGCTGGCCATTTTTGTTCCTCTGCCGCCTCCCAAGACTACTGGGAAATGCCAACCACATTTAGAGTGGTTCTTTTCTTCTTAGTTGCTGTTCCTCATGCCATCTGGCTCTGAACACCCTCGCACACAGGCCCAGAGGTGTGCCTTACTGATGCAGGTGTCTCTCCATCTAGGTTCATAATCATGATTAATCCTCACAGCCAGTTGACTCTCACAGAAGCCTGCAGCCAGCAGAGACTGGCATCGGCGGTGTTAGCTGCTATGAGAAATGCTATAGCTTTCTCAGACATAGGGCAGCCTCTGATGCCTGCCAGAGCCTGCCTTAGATTCTCATAGCATGGCTTTTCCTTTCCTGCTAGTTCTTCTGGCCTTTCAGTGAAATCTGAACCATGCAATGGCAGGGAGGCTGCTTCACTCAAGGTTGGAGGAATGGGGGGCTTCCTTCAGCTGCTCTTTGGTTTGGTGGAAAAGCAAGGTAAATAATTGACTCTTTCTTCTAATTGCTCAGTTGTGAGATAATAAACTGGCTTTCTGCCAACCATGGAATACCAACTAACTGTTTCCTGAGGAGCACATGGATGCAAGCATACTTGATGGGCCTCAGTTCTTTGCAAATCTCACATTCAGCAAGGCTTGGAGCTTTGGTCCCATGTGTGGTCAGTGAATGCCTCTTCAGGAAACTCTTGAATCCTCTTGTTGAGACCGTAGTAGTTTCCCAAACAGTGGGATGTGGCACCATTCAGGTTTGCTTTGGTTATCTCTAGTTGCTCTGACCGCTTTTCATTTTCATAGACAGTGATACTTCAAGGTCGCAGCCATGGCCCTAGGACTGAACTACTCATTCCTCCTGGATAGGTTACTGGTTTGTGTGTGTGTGTGTGTGTGTGTGTGTGTGTGTGTATTAATATCATGTGCACACACATCTTGCAAGTTCATATCAACATTAAGTTCAAAGTCAGGACCACAGAGCTTCTGCCTAGAGCCCTGCCCACAGCTGAATCTCTGTTCTTTCACACTGAGCACTTTTGTTCTCAACTGTTTCAGGACTTGGTAGTTTTGATACTGACACCACTGGGTGTGATAACCATGAATGGCTGGTGTTCTTGAACTTTCCATAAGCCCCCATTGTCCATAACCTCAATGCATGACCAATTTCACAGCTATTCTAGCACTCTCCCTTGATACTTTCATCCCCGACCCCAAGCCAGGAATATCAAAAAACTTTCTAAATCTCAAAACACTTCATAATCTCCAATATATTTAGACAGGCTAAGCCTGGCAGGCTGCTCTAAGCACAAGCCACAGGTGGCTTCTATGCCTTCACTGGGGTCTAACTCACAGAGGGGCTCTGGGTTCCGTGCTCATAGCCCAGTTGGTGTCCCTGTCCACGAAGTGTCTTAGAAGCAGCTATAGGAACAATGCACCTGAATTCTTGCATGATGTCTTCTCTGAGACTGGATGCAGGCTTTACAGACACAAACCCCTCAGTGTATGCTTGCTGCTCATTCTCCTCTTTATCCATAGTTGCTCTCTGCTGTCCCCCAATCACCTCATGGTCTGCTTTGCTTCACATACAGTGTGCATTGACACCTGGTTTCTTGCATGTTAATAGAGTACACTCTGGGGTTGCTGGTCTGGGTTTTGGTTTCATGTATGCTCTTTCAATAAGCAGTTTCCCCCTTTAAACTTTTTTTGTAGGAGTCTTAGCACCATATTGAGGCTCACAACCACCTATGACTCCAGTTCCAGAATAATCCAATAGCCTCTTCTGGTCTCCACTGGCTCTTGTACATATTTGGTGCA